AATATTGATGATTGTGAGAAGAAAATTTACAGCGTAAATGAAAAGATCAGAGTACTACTAGGGTACTGCAATGGTACGACTTTCTGTACCTGTGTACACAATACTCGTACCTGACCATATTCGTAATCACTATTTGCAATGTAGGTTCAATATTTTATTTAAGGATCAATATTTCTCTTTTACCCATGCATAAGAGTTTCTGCTAATAGCTGCAGATTGAACACAATGAGATACGCTTGTCAAATCGAATGAAATATCCAAAATTTTAATTGTATGCTCACTAGAATAACCAAAGGAATAATATCTTATTTGTGATTTTCAAGATAATTAAATGAATCCAAACACCTAGCAGTGGCATTTCTTAGATTAGCACAAGATCTATATATTGAATACTATCTAGCATTTTTTTAATCAATTGTTTTTTTTCCATTACAGACACCATTAATATTTTACAAAAGTATTTCACAGGATAGCAGTGTAAGATAAAATATTAATGAAAATAAATATTGATCATTTTTTTTTGTCGACTCATTATAAATACGTAGATCACTTGCAGTTCTTCAAGTTTAACAACAGAATCAAGCAACTATGTAATCAAGGATGTCGCTATTAAACAGTTGCGTTTAAAAACAGGAATTTTCGATTTTTTTTTATGAACAACTATGCTTAGAAAACATATTTTTCGTCTTTCCAAAATTCGACTTTTCATACCCGTAAACTATCTGGATCTGCTAATGTTGTACTTATACGCAGGTACAAGTGCGGGTACTCGTATCACGTTGAATAAATTAAAATCATAAGTACACTGTTGTGACCAAACGTGTTCCAAACTTAACTCGATCAAATTTTTACAACGATATGCTTAATCGATATTTATTTCATAAGAGTAAAAATGAGCCTCTTGGAATCACCACAAAATTGTTGTTTACACTTGGGAATTTTCTCTAGTAAAAATGGTATTTTCATGATATTTTAAAGTCGGAAGAATCTATTTGTGAAAGACTCAATAGACATTTTATTTTCGACTTGACTATAAACGACTGAGTTTTTTCTTTATACCTTTATCGATTTCTTTCTAGTGTGTCGCTCACTTCAAACTAGATCAAATAATTCATTTTCTTATTCTACGTACGCATCTGCCTGAATCAAGAAAAAGAAACATTTATATTTTTATGCTAGATTTGTTATGAGCTTGCTTTTTTAAAATTAAGATGAAAAAACAGATTTGATCTAAATACCTAATTTATGTCGAAATCTGACTCGAAAAGTAGACGTATCCTGCTGTAAAATATGATGATGAGAGTTTTATTCCTAAGCTTTAGTTTCCAGTTCAAATTTCTATTGTCCATTTCTAAATAAATCTGTGCTTCACTGTTTTTTGAATAACTCAACAATGTAATAAGCTAGAAACCTACGATTTTCACCAATGGAAAAAGGAGACGTGAGGACGTCTTTATTCTCCATTATTGTATACGATGAAATCTTATTATAATCAGTCATTTCTGTAAAACATTGCAAAATATGCATGAAAACAATCTTCCAATTCGACGAAATTTTGGTTTTGACATGTGACTTAGATAGAAAGACTTCAGATCTATTGTTCAAGATATAAGTCGAATGATTATTTTAACACATTCTAATGTTGAACGAATAAAATCGTCTAATTAGTTCTACCAAAACTCTAGATTTCTTTTAATTTTTAAGTAAATCTCTTACTTTTTGTGAAAATTTCATCTGAGTGACAGGCCGTTTTTATACATTTTTTTTTCGATGATTTGCAGAAATGACTGACTGTAAAAAGATTTCGTTGTATACAATAATGGAGAAAAAAATCTTTCCTTGCCTTCTCTTTCGATTCGCGAGAGCCGCAGATCTACAGCTCATTTGGTTGCTGAGTTATGTAAAAAACCAGTTGAGCACACAATATTTTGAAATAAACAATAGGCGTGAATATTCAACTCCCCTTCTCTACGATTTTATGTGAATAGATACTTTGATGATCGGTTCTTTCCACCGGATTTTTGCCAGTTTGTCTGTAAAATTCATCTCGTCGGATCGAACCGGACAGAAAAAAGCAGTTCGGCTTCAGTTCTAAACCAGAAGATCTCGGATGGTAGAGCAGCACCCCATTATCTTGAAGAACGTTAATGCAATAGAGTGACAATGATGGTAACTATTAAGATCTATATCTCTTTCGAATGAAACAAGTGCAAACATATGCATGTGAGGTATCAATCATTGTTTCTTCAGTGCCTTGAATATTTATCCATGTGAAACTTGCCGTACTTGTGTTTGTTATTCTCTATCTCTCTCTTCTCTTCATCTTATTTGTTCTGTTCGTATAACCTCTTTTGTTCGTTCGTTTTGTCTTCTCTCCATTTTTTTTCTGATTTCGTTCTTAATTCGCATTTACTCATTATATTTCATTTATACAGCATACTATTTTGTGAATCAACTTTTTGTGTTGTCTCTGTCTCTGTATGCACTAGAACAACTTGTAATTGTGTACTTAAACAGCTGTAAATGCTTATGATATTCATTGTAAGCACTTCCGACTGTAACAATAAAAATGAGAGAATGAAGAAAAAAAAAACTTCAGCTGATTTATATTAACAATGAACAGAAGGACAAATGAATATCAATGTATGATCAAGCCTTTTTATGATGTAAAATGTCAATCATGAACGAAAAGCTGACTATAAGATAAAATAAAATAGAACAGATAAATATATATTGCATAAGCAAGCAAGGTTAATCTATGGAAATAACTATGACGAATGGATGTATAATTGTAAATTTATGAGGTTAGAAAATTATCTGTTTTCTTTGTTCATTCGTGTGCATCTTATCAATAACAATATTGACAAAATAAAATTTGAGTTTAAACAATATCATGAATGTAACAAGTCGTTCTAGTACAAGATATCATATAACAAATATTAATGATGATAATATTTCAAATAGAATATTAAATAATAAATTTCGTTTCATGGATAAAAATGGTCATATGAATGTAATATATTCTTCATTTGGACGCGTAAAACATATACATTCAAATATAATTTTATTTATCATGCAAGCTGACTGGTGGCTTGTATTATCGTTTGTTTTATTTGGTTTTATATTAAGTTGGTTTTTCTTTGCTTTACTTTATTTTCTTATTTCAATTGAACATGGAGATTTTTCTTTAAAAGAAGATGATCAAACTTTATTAGATAATCAAACAAATTATACACGACAATATTTGAAAATAGAACGAGAAAAATGTGTTCAAGATGTACATAATTTTTTAAGTGCATTACTTTTTTCTATTGAAACTCAACATACAATTGGTTATGGTTCAAGATATATAACAACAGAATGTATGGGTGGTATACTTGTATTAACTCTTCAATCGTCATTGGGACATTTATTACAAGTTATTGTTACGCAAATTGTTTTTACTAAATTATCACGACCTACAGGTGAAGGTTATTCTTTTTTGTCGTCTTTAAAACTCAATTTGACAAAGATCGAAAGTCTTGAACTCTTCTGATATTTGATAGAATAAACATAAATTTCATTGAATTAATTTAGAACTGAACTAATTCTATGAATAGATTGACAGTAGATTGTAGATAGAAAAAGATCTTCTAGGAATGTTTTTATGATGGAAAATTATTTTTTTTTTTCTGTATCTAAGAACTCTTCCAATAATTCATAATTTCATAACAAACGTAACTTTGAATAGACATGAAGAATCGATGGGAAATTCATTATTCTATTCTACTTGTATATCAAACATTGATTCAAAGTTATCATATTGTTTCATAATAATTCAATATAAAATTATTTATATATATATAATTCTGATAAAATCTTATTATCTAACTGATAACAGCACATAAATATTTGTTATAATTTTTTAGAAAAATCACAATTTATTGTATTCAGTAATTATGCGCTTATTGCACCACGAAATAATCAATTAACTTTAACATTTCGAATAGGTATTTAAAATGAATCATGTCGATTTTAGATTATTAATTTAATAATTTCATTTCTTTTTTATTTTTATAGTTAACTTATCTACTTCTCAATTGATATTTGCTAGTGTTCGTTTATTAATGATTCGTCAACGACGAACACTTGAAGGTGAAATAATTCCTCATCAAATCTATGATATGGAATTGACACATCTTCGTAATGGTCAATTATTTTTTCCTCGACCAACTATTGTTGAACATATTATTAATTCACGTAGTCCACTTTATGGTATACAACAATTAACATTAGCAAAAGAACATTTTGAAATCATTGCTATTATTGAAGGTTCTTTTGATTATACAGGTTTTTCATGTCATTTTCGTACATCTTATTTACCTAATGAACTTTTATGGGGTTATCAATTTTCACCATGTAATCCTACATTAAGTGGATTTGATTATGAAAAATTTAATTATATACTATTGATTGATGCTCCTCATTTTTGGAATTATGAAGATGAAGAATCGAATGATTCAAAAACATCTGATACACCCATTAGTTCGCCATATTTATATCATATGAATTATGATAGGAAATTACAACAAGAAAATTCATCTGATGATATTTATCCATCTCCTACGACATATAATCAATTATCAACAGTAGAATTAATATCAAATGATAATTTTAGACATCTAACAACAATAAAATCAATAGATATTGATGAAGAACTAGACGAAATAGAAACAATTTCATTTAAATCAAGTCATTCATTTGTATAAAAAAGAAATTGAATTTTAATGAGAAAAAGAAAGAATTAACTTTTTTTTTTTTTTGTTATGAAAAAAAAAACCCAAAAGAATAAAGCATTCATACATCAACATCATAATTCTTTCTACTGTTCTATTCTGTTGATAGATAAGAGAGAACATGATTAACAATGTATATACATGTATTTGATAATGTTTAGTTTACAATATAGATATGTGCAAAAAAAGATAATAGTGCTTTCTATAATCTCATTCATTTTCAATATGTATTGTAAGTATGTAGAAGTATAGAATTGTATGAACAAATATATTTCTAAAGAATCTTGTCTTGATTTTTGAAAATAAAATTTCTATTCAATTTTTATATTATTCAAGGTGAACAAAATAATCGATTAATAATCTATCCTGATTATCATCTTCATCAAACTTATCCTATTGAATATCAAAAACAAGAAATCAATAAACATATTCAGATTTTACAACAATGGCTCGACAATAATATCGGTCAGTCTTATTTATTCATACTAAGATTTTATTAATTTTATTTTAGAAAAAGATTCAACTGATGATGAAACAGGTTAGTTTATTATTTGATGATAAAAATTCTTTATTTTATTTATAAGATATCTATTTTGATTGTATCGGCCAACAAGAATTCGGTAAATAGAAACTGAAAACTTCTTTTTTTTCTTTTTCTTGTTAACTATTGATTTATCACTGTTTAATAGATAACAATGTTGATAGTCAATACTCAGGAATCAATTGTCAAGATTATGTATACGATGATAATCTTATTCAGATACCTACTACCAATTATTCATGGATATCGGAAATTTGGTTATCAATACATCGAAAGTATAAAATAAGTTTTTAAATAAATCTTTAGTTTATTAAGAAAATATTTAGAACTGGTCTATTACGTCGTTTTCTTAATTGTATTAATCAATCTAGAAAACGATCATTAACAAATGTAGTTGAAGAATTCGTTCGTATACACGGTGGCTCCTTTAATCATCCAATTGGTTCTCGTGTAAGTCTAATTATCATTAAAAAGAATCTTTGAGAAACAGAAAAAAGAAATCATTTTAGTTTCATATATCATATGCAAACGAAAAATGGATTCTGATTTTAAAAAATATCAAACGTAAGTATAACTCAAAAATTTAATTTATTTCAAATAACGCATGATTGAAATGTTATTAGACAAAATATTCATTCATTTTTAATCTGTAGAAATTTGAAAACATTGGATTACAATCAGAATTTTGTGTTTCTTTCAAATATGAGTTCAAAATTCTTGTAAGACTTGTAGTTTAAGAGATAGTTTAGCTGCTCTCAAGTAGGATACAGATGTAAAAGATGTGTGTTCGTATGTGTTGTTCTATCTTATCTGTCCTCATGCCATGTGTTGCATTCCTTGGTTCGTTGTTTCCTCTCTTTCTCCTTCGATTCAAATCCCTCGAAAAAGAGAAAACATCATTAGCATGATGTTGTTTGTAAGAAGAAACAGGATGTTTTCAAAGATATATACATATGGTATGATTTTTGATTTGGAATAGAAGCAGTGATATGCCAATGCAAAGAGTAATGCAAGAAGAATTAACACGAACTTCAGTTTTAACAGTACACAATTCATAAAAAAAATTGTGCTTTTAGTGCTGTTGTTTAATAGCAATATCCTTGATTACATAGTAGATTGGTCGTTCTAGTAAGCTATTAGTTATGTATCACAGATCGAATTCGAGTACGAGAAGTTGCACCCGTACCGTACCTCTACTATGCATTACGGGAGACTGCCGCAATAGAAAGCCGTCTATGTTCTCCTTCCAAAACTTGATATATGCGTCAATGAAAATTAGTTTCTGGCTTTTAAACCATAAGCCTTGCAAAAAATTCGAACTTATAGTTGGAAAGAACACAAAATTTTGATTCTAATCCTATGTTTTCTAAGGCTTCCTAAAAATATTATTTGTTTTGTTTTTCAAGTTGTCAAATATCCAATATATCCATATCCTCAAACACGAATTATTTTAATTCATAAAGGTGTTTCATTTATAGCAAGATAAAACTAACATTATAATGAATGGTTTTTAAATAAACGCGCGTATTATAACAATTATGTCTGGTGTAATAATTATTGTAATTATTGGTATTATCTTTATCCTTCTTAGTCTAATTATGAATATTATACAATTAATAAAAATGTATCAAAATGAAAAACAGATAGAATTTTAATGTATTCGAATAGATATAATAATAATAAATATAAATATTGAAATAAAAGTAATTCCAATAAATATAAAAAAAATTTTTCGTTTAATTTTTCGTCGTGTAATGATTTTATGTGCATGAATTGTATGATGAAGAACTATAGGAAAATATTTTGAAAATATTTTGAAAAAAAGAAAAATCAATTTTACTTTCTTGTGCTTGATTTACTGAATGAGATGTTTCTGCTAATGTAATATAAAGTTGACAAATTCTATCATTATGTTCCGTATGTATTATAGTATTAAGTTCATGAAACATTTCATATAAAATATCAATTTGTTTTTCATTTTTTGTCAATGGAATATCTTTATTATTAATTGATTCTTGTTTTTGTTTAATATCTAATAAATTTTTAAAATTATTAATTATTTGAAAAAAAGATATTTGTTGTGGATGAATAATTCTTCGACTTTGATCCTCAATTTGACGTAATGAAATTAATTTTTGTTTTATTTCATTTCGTTTTATTTCATCATGAATATTAACTGGTAAATATTCAATTAATTGAGTTTGAACACGAATTAATGTTGATTGAAGACAAATATTTAAAAGACGTAAATTATTTATTTCTTGTTGAGCTGAATGAAGTTGAATAGGAACTTGATTTAAAACAATAATTTCTTTTGTTTCAAGTATTTTTGATGTTGTTATTTGATTAGAATGATTTATTTGTTCAGATTCTTCATTAGAATTATGTGTATTAGTCATTTAAAAGAAAAAACAACAACATTAAATCGAAATAACATAAAATTTTATTTACTGCGCAAAAATTATTTTGCATTTGTCGATTTGTAACAAAGATTTTTTAGAATATTACATGTAGAATTAAGCTATTTGTTTACTTTTTCTGATAACAACATTTGTATATGCTTAGATTACAAAGGGTATGTAAATTCATTATACATGTTAGATAAATGAGATGATTTTGTGATCATATTTAAATAACAAATGAGAATTTAAAGCAAGGGGAAATGTACAGATACATATTTGAAATCAAATTATAAGTTCAGGTGATAGCTATGAGTGAGAGTCATACAAAAGGGTGAGCCAAAAGTTTTGTCCCCTCTTGGTAAATTGACATTATTTATACAAATTCATATGTAGGTAGCTGACTGAAGCACATAGTGTTACAGAAAAAGATTAAAGCTATCATCTGAAAAGACAATAGTTCGAATCCCATCAAGATTATAAAAATTGATGGTTCCTTTATTGAACATGACTAAGCATTGTACATCTTAAATTTATCAGTTGTTCCCAATACAAAACATGAAGGAATCAAGAAAAAATAAATTAATAAAAACTTCACATGCGTTGCACGAGACAGCGTGCTTAACTTCCAGTAATTTTCGCTGATCGACTGATAATTGATATTTCGAAATATACTGTCACATACTGAAGCTAAAAATAACTTTTCCAAGCTACCGAAACAAATTGAATAGTAGATCTGAACATATGAAATTTTTGCTCATCTTTCTGACTTCATCCAAATTTTGTTTTTGGAAATAAGATCAAAATTGTTGTGTTATTCATGCTGTCGTAGAGCTAGTCGAACTGTATTAAATGATATAAAAATCTTTAGAAAGCAATATTTCGTTTCAGACATTGCAAATATATATAAGTAGCTTTAATTTACCGACGGGACTTATCATTTTGAAACAAATGATATAATCATTCTCCGGAACTAGAGGATTGCAAGGCACGCTATTTTGACAACTTAATTCTGCTCTGTTTTGAGCTAACGAACGATCCAAACTTTCGTTTTTCCACTGGTTGCAATCATAAAGCAAATAAAAACAGCATTACATATCTCGAAAGCTTCTAATCATCAAAATGTCTGAATTTATTGATTGCCTTCTTTTTTTCGAACCCGGGTCTGATTGACTGAAAACATGTTCTGATGTACCTGTAAATTTTGGTACAACATCATTTTGCATAAATAAATCGTTTTTCTTTTCTTGTTGACGCCTTACTCACGATACATCTATTTCTGTTGAATAATCTTGGCGATCAATATAATTTCGTTACCATTTCACTCACTTTCACTTCTATCCTGGATACACAGATATTCATGATGGCGCTGTCGTACTGCCATAGCGACAACGTCAGGAGTAGCTTCTTTTTTAGGGAGATTGTGGAATTGCATGGATTCGTATCAAATTCGAGTGTCTACAGCTTCAACAGTCTGAATCTTGATGAACCTGATGGATTCAGTCCAACTAGGCTAATTTAGCATAGTGGCGGAAGAGACTTTTCTGAGGTTTTCTCGAAAACCATCGAGCCGGCGGCAGATTTCTGGTCGCAAAGGAAATCTCTATCTGTATAGTGCGCAATTTCGATCATAAGTGTATGTGGTTTTTTTTTGGGTATCATTTTTATTAAAAATAAAATTATATTAGAATGATACAATAGTAATAAAGAGTCATTAGTTTTCTAAGCATACTAAAAAATAAGAAAGAATAATAAAATATGCAAGGAGATATATGATCACAGTTAAGACGAATACCATTGTACTAAATATAGGTTTCCTAATGTATCACCAGCTACAACACCGAATATTCCATTACTGGTTTGCTTCCATGTACGCATTTGAGTAATTGGTGCCGGTACAGGATATTGTCCAAGAATATCGTCAACTTCTTGTTCATCATTATCATCATTATTTGTACTCATATGTTTTGTATGATCATTTCTATGTTGTACTCGTATGACATTATCAAAACCACCCGTAAATATAAGTTCATTATTCATTGAACATAATGCTGTAATTGATCGTTGTTTTGATGATATTTGATTTTTATTCCATGTTTTTATATCACTAAATAAATTTGATGTTGAATAAATATTTCCTGTTGTTGTACCTAAGTAAAATACTTGATTATTATCAAGATTTTCTATTGATGTGATCCATTCAGATGGTATTGATGTTCGATATTCTATTTTTGATGCATATGATGCATATAATTTACTATCTGTTGTATCAATTAATGATAAATCATATGAACATAGCTCATTACTTGTTGAGCCAATTGTTAAAATATAATGTTTATTTTCATTTATTGTTATTGATGATGATAATGGCCATTGACATGTTTGTGTTTTATATGTTTTTAAACGTTCAAGTGAAGTTGATGAATAAAGATAGAATGTAAGTGAATCAAAAGATTGATTTTCACCAACAACAAAATATGGCATATCATATTGACCAGAAACAAATGAAACAGGTCCATTTGCTGTTGTATCAGTTCTTAAACGTTTTATTGAACATTTTTCTTCATTTGAATTATTTATGACTGTCCAAATTTTAATCTTTTTATCAACAGAACCAGTTACAAGAATATGCTGTTGAGTATTCGAACGAACTAAAGCCATACCAAGAATTGTTTCATCATGTGCTTTAATTGATTGTATAATATGAAATGGTTGTTTAGACATTTTATTTTCTACCGTATCTGTATCCATTTCATAATCATTATTTTTTGATGATGATAATAATGACCAAATAAATAGATATGCATCACGTGAAACAGTAAAAACAAGTGAATTATCACAAGAAACACTAATCGATGTAACTTCATCTAAATGACTAACAGGTGGAACAACTTGAGGTGTCATTGCTGATGTTGTTGAATCATTATTTATAAATATATTTGTTGGAATTTCCCATGAACGAATTGTTTTATCAAGTGATGATGTTACAATTGATTCATTACTAAGTACAATATCATTTAATGGTTGTGCGTGTGCATCATAAACACAACGTTGTTCAGGATCAGTTGGACGCCATACACGTACTGAACCATCTTCTGATGCACTAACAACAAGCATTGTATCAACTGTATGTGTTGTACGTGAAAGTTCTTTTTCTTGTTCTTCAATCATATTTGCCCATCTAGAATCTGAATCCGTTTCGTTTTTCATAGCGACACCTTTTAATTTAACCCAAAAATCACATGAGGTTATTTTTTCTGTATGACCACGTAAACATGTTATTTCAGTGCCTTTATGAGACCATACTCGAATTGTATTATCTAATGAACCAGAAACAATACATCCATATGAAAAACAAACTGTATTAACAGATCCTTGATGACCACGAAGTGTTACACGTGCTTCTTCAACATTAGCTGAAACAACATCCATAGAATTATCACTTTCTTTAGTTGTTTTTGGTATTGTATTCCAAATTTTTAATGTATTATCATTTGATGCAGTTACAAGTAAACCATTATTTGTATTTGATAAAGCAATATCATTTATCCAATCAGCATGACAATGAGCAAGTGTATTTGATAGTGTTACACCAGCGTTTGATGAATATCGATTTATATTCCATATATGTACTTGACCATCACGACTAGCTGATATTAATTGATTTGTTTCATTATTAAATGTTAAGCCAGTTATTGGTGTACGATGTTCAGTTAAAATTTCATTTGGTTCATGTGATGAGCGTTCAAAATATTTTGCTAATACATAAATACATATTGTTGCATCTTCCGATCCTGTTGCAATCATATTCATTTTACTAATAGCACATGATAGAACAGCTGCTGTATGACCTTTCAATACTGCTGTTTGAATACGCATATCAGTTCTTTTACCTAAATCTTTTAAATCATATAAACGAGAACTATGATCACCTGATGCTGATATTAAAATATTTCCCGATGAAGGTGAAAATCCAAGACGATGAATACGACCTTTATGATAATGAAATTCTTGTTCTGTAGTACCATTTTGTATATCAAATACTCTTATAGAACCTGAATGATATCCAGCTATAATAAATTCTCCTTCGGGATGAATCATAATACTCGATGCGGAACCCCATGTTTCATTACTAATAATCATTTGACATTGACCTATTGTTGATGAAAATACTCGAACACGACCATCATTACCAGCTGATGCTAATGTTGATCCATTTGGTGAAAAATAAATAGAACTTATACGAGCTGATATGAGACCAACTTGACTACCAGTTAAAGAATTCCATAAACGACATTCACCATCAATTGAACATGATGCTATATAACGACCATCAGCTGAATAAGCAACAGCTTTTATTGAACTTAAATGTCCACGCATAACTGATTTACGTTGTCCAGTTGTTACATTCCATTGTCGAACAATACCATCCCAACAACCAGTTACTAACATAAAACCATCAGGATGAAATGCAACACTTGATACTGGTTTAGGATGTAAACGAATTTCAGTATCTTTTCGACCTTTTTGTATATCCCATATACGTACAAATGAATCCCATGAAACAGATGCAAATTGTGTACCACGTTGATTTGAACATAATTCAGAAACTCGTTTATCATGTGTTGGTGAAAGAATATGTAAACGATGACCATTTGATACATCCCAAACTGATAGACCTCCGTCATTACTACCACTTACTAAACGATCATTACCAACAAAACATAAAGCAGATATTGGTGCAGCATGACCAACAAATAATTTTAATAAACGAGATGTTGATGTATTATAAAGACGAACTAAACAATCAGCAGAACCAGCAGCTAGATAAACACCTAAAAAGAAAAAAACAGATCGAATTTTGTTTTGAATTTGAATTTTGTTTATTTATTATTGACTTACCTGATGGTGATATTGCTAAACATCGAATAGGTTCTATAAAACCTTCAATTGAATATTTAATTTGTTCCATATTATCTGGTTTATTAATACGAACAAATGCTGTTATTTGATCATTATTATTCAGTGAATTTTTTTGATAACTAGAAATTATTTGTTGTATATTATTAAAAACAGCACTAGTTTCTAATTCATTTAATGCTTGTTGATAAATTAATGATGGATTAACAGCTAGAATATGACTATTTCGTTGTATAAATGAACGATATTGTTGAAGAAATACTTCATTTATTTGTTGATCTTTTGTATTTATTGATGATTGTAATTTTGTTTTTGTAATTGAAGAAGTTTGTGTTTTAATTGAAATTATTGATGAAGATTTAATTAATTCATAATCATCAATTATTGATTGAACAAGACCAACACGACATTTACCAGCAATAAATTTAAGATTAGTTAATATTAAAGAAAATAATGTATATTCTTCAGCAACATATAAATAATATGGTAAATGTTCAAATGCTTTAATATTCATTGATGTCCAATGTGGTCCAGTTGCTTCACACCAATAATAGAAAGCAAGAAGTTTATATAAATTAATTTGTTGTTCTTTTGTATGTATATATCGTGTTTTAACTATTTGACGAATTTCATTTGATGCTATTGAAACTGTTTGTGGTCCATCATAAAGTTGAGGTTTTAATAAAATATGACAATTGTAAATGAAATCAGCTAATTGTAAAGGTGTTGTTGTTATTGGATAAGTAAAATTTTCTGGTGGAGGTAAAGTTTTTGTTGTACTAAAATATATATTAATTAAATCACGTAATTCTTGTTCACTTAAATCTTGTCGTGCTGAATAAATTAAACCAAATACAGTTGCAACATATGTTTCACCAAATAATGTATCTAATCGTTTAAATATTTCAAGTAAAAATAAATATTGTCGTTGTGGAATAGCTTTTAATTTATCTGTTATTTTCTTTTCATAATCTGTCATTAATAATAATTCTTCACATATTAATGTTAAATATGATGGTTTAAATGAATCACGTTTACTTGTAATAAATTTCATTTGTGATGAAAATGCTTGTTCATCTAATTTTTTACCAAAACGATCAAGATGTTTACGAACAATTTCACTACGTTCAAGTAATTCAAGATTTGATATATTTATTGTTAATAAATTAGATATTTTTTTACATGCTTGTTCAACATCACTATCTTCAGTAGCACTTATAATAAATGTTATTTTTTCAAAATTAAAATCTTTTGGTATAAAATTTAATGTTTGAACTAATGTATCATTATCAAGTAATTCAATACCATCAATACAAATAACAATATTTGAAAGACCTTTTATTGTATGAAAGATATCGGATAAAATTTTACATAAATCTGTATATGAACTTGTACGAATTTTATCAATTGGAAATTGTTTTTCTAATTCGGTATGATCATTTATTATTTGACAAAGTAAACGACGAAGCATTGCAAGACTATTTAATGATGCACGTGTAATACCAACATAATGTTCATATAATTTAACATTTAAATTGACTTTCGATAAAAGATTATCAGCAATAGCTGCAATAACTGCTGTTTTACCTGAACCTTGTTGTCCTGTAATAAGAATAACAGATGATTTTCCAAGAGATTTAATTGTATCTTGAAGAATTTTATTTCGACTAACAAAATGTTCCATAAATGAAATACGATATTGTCGATGTTGATTATCTTCTATTTCATTATCATCTAAGAGAACATATTCAGGTTTATATTCTTCTTGTAATGATGTCCATAGATTATCAATAACACGTTGTGCAAATTGTTCAAGATTAGTAACAAGTGGTCGATCATTTGATACACCGTGCCATGAACATGGATAACCATTATATGTTTCAAAACCACTTGAACATATACGTTGTTTTAAATGATTTATTTTTGTCTGTGAATCTTCATCTTCAGAAATAAAATCACTAGACCATGGTTTAGGAATATTTGAAAGAAAGTTTGAATCACGAAGATAAAAAAATGCTCGATTTTGTTTTGTTGATGATGAATTAAGTGCACCAGCTTGCATTTCTAAATCGGTTATACTATAACCAATTGGTAATTTATTTAACCATGTAAATCGTGGATCATCTTTTGGTGCATCATAGGATTTTGGTATATAACCATAACGTTCACCAACTAAACCAATAAAATAATCACTACGATATACTTCATTAAGACATAAGAAGACAGATTGTCTTGATTGACTTTCTGCAATACCCCATCTAAGATCTGTCTGATAAAGATTAACAAAAAGACTTTTTGCTCGTTGACGTAATTCAGGAAAAACATAACGTGTGAGAAGATCACGTTCAGCATGCATATCTTTAAATGTTGATGATATAAATACACGTACTGTTCGCCAACGTGGTACTAATGTAGTCATTGGTAAGTTTGTAGACAATTTTGGTTGCTCTTCCTTTGATGAATCTGTTGTTGATTGTTCATCTTTTTCTGTTTCAACTTTTTTATTAAGATTGTGTGCATTATCAATATTTTCAACATGTAATAATTGTCCATCATTACCACGTTCAGCAATAAATTGTAAAATTGAATCAGAAAAACCGCTTAAAAATATATCATTTCGATTATTGAATCGATCTGATTTTGTTAGTGAACATTGAGCTATACTTAAATCAATACTAACAAACATAAGTTCAGGATTGACTAAATAACGATAAAGTGAAAGAAATCGATAAACAAAATCTGATTCAGCTGTATCAGCTTTTAATCCATCAGAAACAATAATACTAAAAAAAAATAAATAAAAATAAAATGAAGAATTAAATTTATTTTCATTGTTCTAATTTTTGATTACTTACATATTATCAAACCATTGTTTTTCAGCAATCATATTTGTAAGAAATGTTGGTGGTATACAAACATCTGATGTTGATGCTGGAATTTGATCATTCGATAAAATTTTTGTCATTTGATTAAGTATTGTTTCTTGTGGTGTTTGTTCAATTTCAGTAAAACTATCTTTTGTTTTATAAATAATTAATTGACTTGATTCACAAGCTGATTTACACATTAAACCCATTAAAAGACCTATTTCAGCACGTGTTCGTGGTTTACCTAAACCTCTAGCTGCTTGGCATGGTTGAGACATAGCTTGACTTAAATTACAAAAAACAAATGTTCGACCAGGTATTGGTTGACAATTATGTTGTGTAGCTATTTTAACTGAACAATCAAGTGCTTTTCTATAACGTTGTAAAAGTGCAAGATCATATTGTATTTCTTTTGAACCAAGTTTTTTAGCTTTTTCTAATGGACTTAAAGCAGTCTTTTTGCCTTTTTCTTTTCGTGTTATTCGACGACTTTTTGTATCTGGTACTCCAGCTATTGTTTCTTTAGCTGCACACCATTTATTAAATTCTTCTTCAAGTTCATCCAATATTTGATATGCAGAAAAGAAACGAAAGGGAAATTGACGACTGTACATAACTGCACCATCATCTTGAAGTTTTTTTAATACCCATTGATGATGTTTTTCAGAGATACCTGAAAAATAAAAGATTAAAATAGAGATTATTTGTTTCTTTTCTTTTTTTTTTGGTTCTAATTTGTAGAAAACTACGAAAATTATATTCAATAAATTCCATTAGTTTTCTCAATACATACCAACTTTAATCATATTTCGTAAATTTCTTAACATAGCCATAAATGGAAGTTTCTTATTATCAATTAACTTTTGCCAAACTTCAGCTTTGTTTCCTTTAAGACTGATTTGTGTTTCCCATCTATTAAAAAAAAAATATTTATAAAATGAAAAATTAAAATAAAGAAAAATAATTTTACTCACGTTTCTGGTGTTGGTAATTTCATACGTTTATTTGCACGTTCTGATTCGAATACACCAGGTAAACGTGATTGATAGAAAAGTTCAGATGTTTCCGGATATCGTTTACCTAATAGACACCAAACATGTTCAACTGGTTCACTAATATGTAATTGACGAATTAATCGTTTTAATGTGAATGCCATTCTTCGTGTTTCACGCTCTTCTTCAGTAATTTGTGTCATTGCTTTTCTTGTTGCTTTATCCAATTTTTGACCTTCTGATGTAACACTCATATTTGAATCGGTCGAAGATGCTCGACTCATTCCTCGTCCGCGCATTGGTCGAGAACCTCGGGCACTACCTCGCGAAGAGTGATATCCTCTTCCTCGAGTTGCACCAGTTGTTTTACCAGGTTGTGGTGCATTAGCCTTCTTTGCTTTTTTCAAACGAGCTTTTTCTTTATTATATTTTGCAAGTTGATATTTATCAAAATCAGGAAATTTTTTGACCATAACACGACGTAATGCAGATGGTAATGAACCAAAATGAATACGTTTATCAAAAAATGTTTGATAAAGTTCAGCTATTTCAATCCAATCTGATGGTAAATTAACAGTTACTTGAAAATACTTTTTTAAAAATATACGGCATGATTCGGTATATGCAGCATATGCAAGTAGAAAATTTGCTGTTATACGAATATTTAAATGATTTCGTGTATAAAGAGCAGCCTAAAATTAAAAAAAAAATGATTTTTAATAAGTATAACATCTCTGGTTTTATTTTAGTTTTACCTTAAGAATAAATTCAGGATCTTGATCAATTACAAGATTAGCAAGACGAATAAGTTCATTTCGTTTTGAATCTGTTGGTTTTCTTAGATCTGGTTGACTTAATAATGAATCTGCCAATGAATTCAAAAAGCTTTTCTATAAAAAAAATGATGGATATAAATTTTTTTTCTAAACCAAAAAAAGAACAATCAATATCAAACCTTAATCGATTTAATGCCAACATTGAAATCATCATCGTTTGTATTTTGACTTTCAAGTTTTGCATAGATTGAAGAAAATGGATCAATACGAGGACGTTTCGGTGCTGGAACATGACAATGTAAATCAATATTAAGACGAGTTGATTCGGGTTGAATATTTTCAGCATTATATTTGTGTTCATTATCATCCGAAAGTGAAACAGGTGTAGTTGTTTTTGTTGTTATTAATGTAGGTTTCTTTAAAGTTTCTTGAGTTAATGATTGATTTATAACTGTTGATTCTAAGGGTTCAGCTTTACGTTTTCGACTTAAACTTGTTTCACTTGTTAACAAAGATGAATTATTTAAATTGAATGATGAAAGCAATGTATTGCTAGTAGATAATTTGGTAGAGGAGAGAAATGATGATGATGTAGGAGTAGTATTGAATAGAGTTGATACAGATGATTTAGGAGGAAGAGTACCTGATAGAATTGATGAAGATAATGGTTTAGATAAAGTATTTAATAGAGTTGATGACGATGATGCCTTATGTGAAGAACTTAATAAAGTTGATGATGAAAGAAAACTCGATGGTTTGCTTGTACTTGTTTCTGATAAAAGTGAACTTGTTGTATTTAATGGTGATGAAGATAAAAGACTCGAGCCTTGAAGTAATGAACTATTGCTAAGAGTAGGAGTTTTTGTTGACAAAAGTGAACTTTTTGTAGACAATAATGAGGATGCCGTTGATGACTTTTTTGGATCAGCCATTTTCTCTTGCTCACTATTGAAGATACTATCACGCGTTTAAAAAAAAATATGCATGCAAGAAATAAAACGACCCGAGTATTTAAATGAGAATGACTAAAAAAAACAGCGGATTGAGAAAGAAACAACGTTGCACAAGCTAAAAGAAAGAAAGGCAAACAAATGTCAGTCTACTTATTCATAACGATGAAAAAATTCAGAATTGACAGTTGATGGTGTAAGAACAACTCGAGTATATGCAATATATTTATTTTTCTTTCATGTTATTGCAAAAGCAAATAGGTATATGTCATGTCCAGGGTCAGCAAAATGTAAAAAAATCGATTGCCTAGTAAAAATCGATTAAAATAATCACGCCATCTATATCAATTAAATTTATTTAAAATAATTTTTTGTATACAAAATAAAAGAAAAAAAGAAAAATTTATGCGAAAAATATAAAATTCAATTGAATAATTAAAGAATTTAATCAATTAATATTGAGGACATTTACTTAGCGACATGGATAATGTGTGCCTTGTTCTACTCATCCAGTCAGCAATAACCACAAACGAAACTGTTATATCATCATCTGTTAATGTCTTTTAGAGTAAACAATAATGTTCTTCAATTATTAATAATTCTTTAATAATACATCATGCGTGTCGACCCAATAACTAAAACAACATCAGATGTTCCATGTGATCTCGGTCCGAAATACGACGATTATTGTCGTCAATATCATTTATTACCTTTGTCAGTTGTAAAAATAAAACTTGATTCTGGAATTATTGATTTAGATACTGATAATCTTCGGTATAGATCCAATATACTTTATTCCTTCGTTCTATTTTTCAAAACTATTTTATTTAGATTCGATGATTGGACACCTTTATGTTCTGCTATTGGTACATGTAAAACACTTCGTTCTCTTACATTACGTAGTCAATATTATAATTCATTATCAAGTAATTTTGCTGAAGGTTTGTTGATTTTTTTTTTTTGTGAAAGAGAATAATTCAAATGTTTGTATTTGTTTTTAAATTAGCTGAACGACGAACATTAAAGCGAGCTTCATCTGCTTCAAAACGTCCACCAATATTTCAATCAAAAGAATTACTTTCAAAGATTTGTACACATATTAAAGATAGTCTTTTAATAACAACAGAACTTGTCTTACTTGAATTCGATGGTCTTCCATTTCGACGTAAAGATTTAACAATTTTAGCTCAAGTAGCATGAAAAACTATTTAATCGTTGAAATAAATATATTTATTTTTTAAAGGGTATTGCAAAATGTAAATCACTTATTCATTTTCGTCTTACAAATAGTCCAATTGGTGATGAAGGCCTTGATAGTAAGAGAATTTTATAAGTTGAAAGTCGAAAAAAAAAGCCCATTTCTCTTTCATGCAGTTCTTTGTCGACATTTGAATCAAGCACCAAAAATTCGTGAAGTCGATTTTTCAGCTTGCTCACTCACCAGTCAAGGTGCACATATAATTGCTGATCTTATTAGAGTAAGTTAATAGTTTTTTTAAAATTATATTCAAAAATTTTACGCGAAATAAGGTAATCGATATATGTCTTACAAACTATTTCGTACAAAAGTTTTTCATTCATTATTAATTGAGTTTGTTTATTCTCTCATTAATATCTAATTGAAATAATTAATGTCATTGTTTGATGATTATTTCAAATTTATAAGTTCTAATGAATTATATTCAGTTGATGTTAGATCAGTTTCACTTCTAAATTCATCCGAATCATAATAACTTCTCTGCCGTTGTTGAGCAAGTACAAGAAGTATAATAATAATAATGATTGTCACAATAAATAGAAGACTAAATATAGCAGCTACATGACCAATTGAAAAATAAAATTCATTTGGTATGAATGACATTGTTCCATTGTTTATCGTAATGACTAAAACAAAAAAAGAATTCTATAGAAATGAATTGAAGAAAAAAATATAACTATGAAGGAGAACACGAAACACAATGTGATTATTCAAAAATTATTGTCGCGTGTTCATTCTATTTCATGACATTGAGAAAAAAGATTATCAGGTCAGGATTCGATCAAATAAGACATTTTTTTTTCTGATTTTCTAGCAACAAGGAAATCGACGTCACACAGATGTTTGGAAAGAAAGTCTTCGTCATCAACAAAAAGAAAGTTTACCATATCAAAATCCAATGCTTGATCATATGTCTGGTTTACGACGTGTAACACTTAATCGAAATACATTAATTGCTGATCGTGGTGCTACATTTTTAGCTGAAGTACTTGAAGCTGATCTTTGGATTAAGGGTATGTATTTATTTGATAAAATCAAAGATAAATAATTTTATTCCTTTCTAATTTTAATTCCATTGAGATTTATTGTTATTAGAGAACGAAATAAATTTGATTGAGGAATGCAGACACTTATGAACTTCTTGTTTTTTCTTTTAAATAAAACTTTTCCATTGATATAACGATGTGTCAGAGTGTTCTGACAAACTATATGGCGGATATCCTTATTTGAATGATATTTTTGCTAGGATCCTGTCAGATACTACGATCTGTATATAAATAATCGATGGGAGATTTACCTACGATTCAGAAATTCGCAGTTCGAGACGTATCTATAACGCAATGTCTGAGATCTTTCAGATTATTATGGAAATTAAAGAACACGGTGAATGTCTTTTATATACTTAACACAGTTAAATGAACAACCACACTCACCCGTCATTTTCTTGAATTGCTAATTTCTGAGTTGTGGATACTGTTAGTTGCACAAATCTCGACCGTTACGTCTACTGAGTAGGAAACAGGATATTTTTATTCTCTTTGTTGTACTTCCTACGCATTAACAACATCATGGAAAGGTTTCTATTTTTTGATGTTTTAATATTTAAGAAAATAAAAGAGAATTTCTTTATTTTAAAATAAGTCAATGTTATTACTTTCTTTTTCAGCTCTCGATCTTCAAGATTGCGCGATATCAACAAATGGTGCAAAAGAATTTTTAAATGCAGCTAAATACAATAGTCTGATACATATAATTGATATTCGTAATAATCCTCTTGTTGATCGTGATATTATGGAAAAATTAATTGAACAATTATTAATTAATTGTGAAGATGATCGTTTATGTGAAGTTTGTAGTTAATTAAAAATTTAAAAAAAAAACAATAAATAATTCAATTTTTGTTTTTGTTGATATAGTATAAATGGTTAAAACTTGAATCTCCTCGACGTCCACGTTCAAAAATTGCTCGAACAACAACAACATCAACAACAACAGGTGCTAATCGACCAGCCTATTTTCATCCGAAAACACCTGTTGATCCAAATAAATTGCAACGTAGTAAATCAACAGGATCGGTTTCAACTGAACCAAGAAGTGATGGAATACCATGGAGAACAGCTGCTCGTGCAAGTCGATTGCCGTATGTTTATATATATGTTTTTCAAAATGTTATGCTATTAGAGAATTTCTGTGTATTTCTTTTTCTGACCAGTGGATTTCCACCTAAATTACCAACACGCGCTTTTCATTCATCAGAAGAATCGATTTATGGTGCTGGTGTTGGTGGTGATTTACCACAACAAACAATAAAAGAAAATCCAATCGTATGTTATTCTATAAGAAATATTAAAATAAGATCTAATGAAATTTTATTGTTATAGAGTCGAATACAAAGATTAGAAAATAAACTACGCGAAGAACGTCAAGCTAAAAAACAATTAGAAGAACAACTTCAACAGGTAAAAAGAATAATGCAAAGATTAGTATGTGTTTGTCTTGTGTAGAATGATCTGAAATCAGTGTTGAAGCATATAGGATAGAAAATCACAACCTTCTGCCAAAATCGTGGGATGAGCTAGTCAGAACCTATCATAGGCATTGTTGATATAAGGTCAAAAACTGTATATTAACTGTTTCTTTATTATATTTTTGAAGGATTAAGTGAAAGGATAGTTAAGAAATGTTCTCCAAAATAATTTTCCTGTGATTAACAATAATAGTTACATTGTGTTTTATATTTTAATTTTGGAAGAATTGCAATAACATATTTTCTTATATTAATTATGTGTTTTTTAATTAATTAATTAGGTTTTAGCCAAAAATGATTTAGCACAACGAGAACAAGATCATTTTTGTGCAGTAGTTGAAAATACATTTCAAAAATTTCAAAAATTTCTTGATTTTCTTCGATCGAAACGGTAAATTTCTTTTATTTATTCAATTAATAAAAAATTTTCTTTTTAATTTTATAGTTTGGGTGAATTAATAACAATGGCTGGTCTTGATGATGCTTTTACTAATCCACTTGATGAACTTCGTGAAACATCATTAACTGTTGCTAATGGATCGAATGCAAATCATCAATCGGTAACAGTAGAAAAAAGTGATGAACGACCACACTTATCATCATCGTCGTCATCATCATCATCATCAGTCTCAGAGATGAATCATAAAAATGGATCATAATTCTTTTGTTTTCGTTATTCAATGATGCTCAGGTGTTCGCTTTTCTTTTTCACATAGGTTCTCTTTATTAGTTCTAAATGTATTTGTGTTTCTTTTGTGTGTGGGTGTGTGCGATTGTTCGTTTCTTACTTGGACAGTTTTGCTAATATTCTTGTTTATTGTTTTCTACTTCGAGTACACGTCGTCATTTGATGGCAAAGCGAACCGAAGAATGCTTTACTCAGTGAACGAATGTATAATATTTGTATTCACAAAAAAAAAACAAACACAAAAAAAATGAGATGCATATTAGATTGTGTTCAATAAATATTTGGTTATTTTTCATAATAAATAATAATGTAGAATGGTTGATAAATTTATTTCAATAAAACAATTGAAAAGAGTTGTAATAATCATCTGAATATTTTCATTATTTGTTGTCGAATGATAATAATGACTATCATGTTTCATATGTAAAAGGAATATATCGGAAAATTATATAATGTAGATTTTTCTGTTCAAATTAGAAATAGCATTAGTTAATTTAAGTTTAATCGAAAACTAAAATATTGAAATTATATAAGTTATCGTTTAGTTAAAGATAAAGAATTCAATATATTTATTTCATTTGTACTACTGTTATCCATAAAAATAAATGTTTTTTTTTACGAAGAGCAATGGCGAAATACGGAAAGAATTTGATACAATCGTGGAAGTTTTATGTTTTTTTTTGTGTCAGTTATATATGATAAGAGTGTGTGATGAAGCCTCTTGGATTAGTTCCAGACTCGATTAGTCCTGTCGTAGACATTTCTCAAATGAATCGTCTGAGAAATGTGTAGAATGCACTAGTCACCAAATACAAAAATCTAGAAAAACAAGTATCTCTTATCTTCGGAGAGGCTATTCTATTTCGATGAAGGTATTCAAGTACTGTTCGACCAGGTTCGGGTCCAAAAATGTTGGACCTGATAGACTCTAATATGAATGTAGGTCGATGAAGAGAAGATCCAGACTTCTCATTCATCCTCAAATCTCGACACCTGTACTCACACCTTGAGCATTTGTATTTCCATATTACGCCTCAGTAATTTGAAACATTATAACTATTGTGAGAATATATATGTTTTGATAACTTTATTTTCGATATTTGTTGAGAGAATCATAGCATTGCTGAAGAAATAGTTTACATTCAAAATGACAATTCAATTATTTGAAAATATACGTAATGTTTTAAAGTTTTATTCTATCGATGATATAATATTTTAATCTATTTTCTTCTATGAATTATATATCCTATTACATATTCATTGATGATTGCTCAAACATTATCAAATTTTATTGTTTTTACTTTCTTTGAAAATTTCCCTTGTTGTGAGCATTGAAATGAATTATTACTGCTGAATACTGCCATCTGTCATTAAAAGCATCATGTAATAAAATGTGAGTAACACATCTTAGTAACAGAACTCACCATACATACTACTATGGTATACTATCATAGAGTCATATAAAGTCTCATTTTGATTATTTACAAATTGTGATTTAAAGAGGAGATTAACAAAACTTCGGTACATCATAACATTTTGTGAAAGATTATTTTAATGTGAAAAGATCTATATATTACGTAAATAAGAACAGTGATGGATTTTACTCCAGTACGAGATACGAGTGTTACATCTGGCCTTGACCAATCTCAAGGTAGTTTTAAACTAAAAGAAATCTAATTGATTTATATATATATATATCAAATATCGGATAATTTTAGGTCAAGCTAAAAGAATATCAAATGAACGTCAAATGATTGCCAAACTTGATCCAGCTGAACTTCAAGATCGATATTTACGTTTATATGATGACCATTTGGTTCTTAAACAGCATGCTCGAAAGCAAGAAGATAAAATTAAAAAGTAAAAAAAAAAAAAAAACAAAAAAAATTTTTATTTGTATTTAAAATTTTTCTTTCTTTAGATTAGCAACCAAATTAACAAAAGTAATTGAAGATAAAAAGAAAAGTGATGGAATTCCTTTAGGTAAGTAAATAGTTTTAAAAAATAAAATAAATTTAATATCTTCTTAAATAAATATAAGGAATTAAACTTGGCGCTCGTGAAACCGAAACTGAAAATCTTCTTGCTGAATATCGTAATAAAATATCTCAATTAAGTGAACAAAATAAATTACTTAAACAACGCATTGTTGTTGCTCAACAACAATTACAAGCGGCACAACAAATGAAAAAATCACCTACTATGTATGATAATGTTACATCAAGAATTGATACAGTAAAACAATTTTCTTAATTTATTTTTATTTATTATTAAATGTTTTAAAGGGTCAACCGAAGCGAATGCCATCACCATTACTTCATAATCTTCGTGTTATTGGTCCACGAGATTCATCAAGGTGATATTGTTTTTCTTTTGGAATCAAATAAACTTCTAGAGAAAAAAGACAGTTTCAGTTAATATTACACAGAATTTTTTATTCAAAAAGTTATTAGATATTATAATAGTATTTGAAATCCTTTATATTATGAATCTTTGACTTGAAAATATCAATTCATCTATGATTAACGACTTTCAGTCATATGGAAATAATGTCTTACGAGAACGACTTTTCTCAATTTCCCGTCTCTGTTCCGGAAAAGCATTTAGACTTCCTGTTACGATTTTATTAGTCTTCTTTGAGAAAAACTGTCATTACCAGACACTAGCTGCTGCCAACATTTCACTTTTCGCAACGTGCTATTACCTTAAATTAAAAATACTTAATCGTCGTATCAAACGTAGTAGTCCAGGTACCACACTTGTTTATAAAGATCTTAAAGAAACTTCCTCTTTGTGTTGACTGATAGTAAAAATGACATTCTATATTTCTATGTTATTACGTTATTCTTTAAATAATATCATAATAATAAAATTTCGATAAGAGCTATTTGTTATGATATGTGGCAAGAACAGCAGATCATATGTCTTCACAGTGTATTCTCTTTTTTATTTCCACCTTTCTATTTTCCTCGTTCCCTTTACGGTACCTATCTATTTCTAATGAGAAATTATATATTCAAAAAGATGTGTTCAATATTCTTCCATCGGAAGGTATGACGATAATGTAACGTAAACCTCATTCTTCGGATTTGACACTATATGATTTTTGCTTATTCGACTTAATCAAACAAAATCTAAGCAATCAAAACGATTTAGAATCATTGCATCGTGTTGTAATCAACCTCATAAAATGTTTAAATGAAAAAGATTATAGAAAAAGCTTTGACAAATGGATTCAACGAGTGTAGTTGTGTATGGAAAACCACAGGGATTATTTCGAACATTTCGATGAAATAAGGACTTGATGAACTTGTTTATGTATTTCTTTCTGTTTTGTTAATACTACTTTTCGCGCACTCTAATTTATATTTAGACGATTAAACATTAAAGGAGATGAGAAAAAAAAGAGAAGCTAAGAACAAGAAGAGGATAAGTCTCGAAGACAAATATGATCTGATGTTATTGCTACATATAATAATGAATAGCTCTTATCGAAATTTTATTATTATGATATTAGTTGAAGAAGATTGTAACAGCACAGAAAAATAGAGTATCGTTTTTACTATCAGTCCATTTACAGGAAAAGTTTTTCAAAATATTTTATAAGAAATTAAAGTACCTTCGCTACTACTTTTTATACCCCCTGAGTAAGACTATTATTTGAGATACAATTTAGTAAAATAAATCAATTATTATTTATACGTCGCAATTCATCGAAGTTAATTTGAGAGAATTATTTCCTTCATCAATTGAAAAGTAAAAAAAGCAATACCAGCACTTCAACAACGTCAACGAAAAAGCGAAAACATACAAGAGGAGAAAACAATAATCCTATATTGCGAAATAGTTTGAATAATATTCTTTTCGAATGTCACCATCCCAAAGCGAATACTAATTCTGATAATTGAATTGGTGGAGCTCTTAAACTTTAGGAGGATCAGTTTTTTAAAGAACAGTTACCAATATCATCCTGAAGGTATATTTAGTAAGCAACAAGTCTTTGAAAAACAGTTGTCTCATATTTTTCTGAAGTTGACGTTCAACCAGATGTTAGGTGGTGTATTTGCGCGAGTGTATTTTTTTTTGTAAACATCTGGCAAATAGACAGAGAAACTCAATCTATGATTTTTGAAAAACAACCTCAAACGAACTGTATAACGACCGACTGAGTAAATGTTGGTTTTTTTTTGTCACGAAGAAAGCAAATGTTTGAGCGCCTTCACTGATAATTATTATCACAAAATCTGAGGCAAGCCTCAATTTCTGTTGAGCAACAACACAAAGGGTGAATGTACGAACAAAAATCAATTCTTCATTATTTTGATTAGTGTTTTACGAAACATTTGGAAGTTTGGCAATATTGCAACACTAAGCAGGTTAAGAAATCTTGTTTAAAACTTTTTCGTACACAAATCACTATTGAGTCGCATCCTGCTTGTTGCATGGTAGACAAAAGTTTTGCCGAGCAGCTCTTTCTGAACTGAGGTAATCATATTCTTTGTCAAAAAGTGACCAAAGTTTGATAGACATTTTAGTTTATTCTGTTCGGCACTGTAGAATAAAGGTTCTATTTGTCATGAAATTAAAAAAATAAGTTTGTTAGCGCAGCCCCTTTGGGGCTAAAATGTGGAACTCGCATATACACTCTAGCCTCATTAAACTAATGCAAAATACGTAAAGTGAAAAATCTCTAGTAGACTATAGCTGTCTTGCAGGGTGATCGATGTCTCGAATAATGACTTCTCTAATTTCTCCATTTCGAACAGAATTTTTTCATTTTTCTCTACGAGTGCCCTATTTTTTGTTTGCATTGTTGCTATTCGCTCATTATTTTTCATTTTTTTAAATTCGTTTTTCTTAATTTAACATTCTTATTATTATAATCATTGAATTGATTGACAAATAAGTATGTTTTATATATCTATGATATCTACAGCAGATCTTGAACACTATCATATATATTAATCAAGTCACAAATAATGATATTCATTATTTTTCAAAATTATAACTTGATCAATTTTCCAAAAAAAAAACACTCAAAAATCTGATATCTTTTATTATTGGTTGTTAAGGTTTGTAATGGGGGTGGGGGAGGGGGTTTGTAATGGGGGCCTACGTTGCTAAGTGTCTGTAATGGGCCTTCGGTTGCTATGATGTCTGTAATGAAGAGGGGGAGGGGCGGACAGCCGCGAAAACTTGACCTTAAAACTTACACTCACTATTTTCTTCGAAAATATATGTGAGTTCCACAAAAGTGTTAACAATACTCTTAATCTAGTAGCGAATCTAAGAGTTTGGAAGGGAAATGGGCGATTATAGCCAGAACGCACAATCTTAGTGCATCCACGGTAATGTAAACTCGTTCTTCGTTCGTTTTTTTCTTAGAAAATTTTCTTGAAGACAGAAGACCATCCCTTTGCCTCTTCTTCCAAAGCTGACGCTGTCATACTAATTTCTAGGAAAAATTAAAGGATTGTAAAAGCGATATCAAGACATCTTCTTGTCAGCATTACAAAAACTTTTTCGAGCCTCCCTTTGCGATAATATTCTCTGTGGAAATATACAAAGGACTTTCTATCAATAATATTTAAAACTAAATGTTTTCCAATGTCATTTAATGTTTCAAGCGTTCTTTGAATCTGTAATAATTTTTCTAAATAGAATTATATCAACTGTGGTCTACTTATATTTTAGAACTTCTGGAACAACTCCAAGAATAAATAGTGCATTATTAGAAGATGCTCGAATGACAAATAAACAATTGTAAATATTTAATTTGCTTTACTGAAAACGAGTCGATTATTGTTGTTTTATTTTCCTTCTAGAGAAGAATCACTTGAAAAAGCTCATCAACAATTAAATGCCAATGAGCAACTAATTGAAAGTCTTCGTCAACAACTTCAACAACGTGATAATGAATTTGAACAAAATTTAATACGTTTAAAAGCTCAAACAACAGGTGGTGATTCACGTACTAATTTACAAGAAAATATTGATATGATTCGTTTACAACGAGATTTACGTGATAAATCTGATGAATTAAGACGTTTCCAAACTCAATGTACAAATTTTGAATCGGTTTGTTAAATCTTCAATTATTGATTAATTACTTATTTTTTTCTTCTTCTTTTTTAAAGCAAAATCGTTCACTTCAAGTGACGAATGCAGAATTATTAAAAGAAATTGATCGACTTGATAGACAAATAAAAGATGAACAACAACGAGCATTACAATTACGTACTGAATTACGAAATGGATCACGTTCAAATACAGTTATTCACGAAGTAAAATTATCAAAAATATATATATATCTCAAAAAATAGTTGTAATCGATTTTTTTAAAGATTTCATCAACATGAAAACATATTGTTTGAAAACGCAATTGCATACCTTGATTGTACTTGGAGTTCTTTGTCATTATGTATATACATATTTTGACTTGAATTTATTTTGTATTCGAGTATAGTGAAGACGTTTTCATTTTTAGATTTTCATGGATTCGTATTTTTACTATTTCTTCAGTTTCCTTTTTAAATTTATCATCACATTAGGAATAACTTTTTACAAGAGTAATTATATATTCTAGTGGTATTTAAAATTTTCTATCATAATATATAGTTTAGAAGCTTTTGATTCCTACTAAGTTCCTGATAAATATTTCACATATTATTGAAAAAATCGATTTTGCAGATCTGCATTTTGTACTCTTTCAAATAAATCTCATTATTTTAATATTAGTTGTCCAAGAAGACGGGGACTTCTTCCTTCCTAGAAGGCTTTGAGGTGCTCCTAGAAACATTACTGCAGAGTCTGCAACCTCTCGGCAGTAACTAGGGATGCAACGGTGACGATAACCGTACCTACGGTTAATGGTTCAAGCCGGTTTTCATGAAAGAAAGGGTTTTTTAAGAAAATCCCGATTTTTTATAAAGGTTGACGAAAGTAAATCGGGGCCGAAGAATACGAATTTGAAATTAGTTTTTTG